ATCCTCGTAATAATGATCAATCGACCACAAGCCCGAAAGGCATTCTAGCAAAAAATTAGAGGTCGCGCAGACCGAGTCAACAGGACTTTCCATCCGCCGCAATGATAGTCGTGTCGATTAAGCCTAACAGGGCATTCCGTCCGCAGCAGTGATGGTCGCGTCGACCAAATCCGACAAGGCGTTCTATAATTTTCCAATGGTGGCGTCGTCCATTTTGGCAAACAGCGTCGTAGCATAAGCGCTATGTATCTTCAATTAATACAGCACAACCCGTTAATATAGTCTTAGCGCCGTGACTCTTTATCCGATTTAACTGTTGAGAATAAATGCGAATCAGAAATATTACCGCGAATACTTTCGGTAACTCAATTTGTATAAAGAAACGTAATGGCGGAAAAATGACTCGTCACGCAGGACGATCCGAAACGTAGGACGAACGACAAACGAATGCTCGCAGAGCGGCAAGCACGCAACGGCAAACAAAATACGCGCACGCGTTGTTACGAGTTCTCGAACTCTCTGTCTCTGTGTCGCTAGGCGGACTGCGCCACGCGCGGATTATGCAACACTAACATAGAAAGCAGTAGCGGTAGCTACCACTAACGCCATCCGCTGTAGTTCAATAGAACTATAATTCTCACTAACAACTATCGCGTCGACGAATATATAATCTTTCTAGTTTTTTCTTTACTTTTTAACAGTCTGATAAAAAAACTAGTTGAGTAAAAAAAAATTCTCCCGATGGAAACAAGAAAAACTATCGTAAAACATTGTGTATAAATTTGAAGCAAATCGGTCCAGCCGTTCTCGAGATATTCTGGGAACCGTGAACCGTGTCACATTTTACGCCGGCCACGAGAACAGCGCTCCGAGGGAATAAATTCCCTTAAAAAAATTTGTGAACGTGCCTCAATGTAGATACTTTTAAATAAAAAAAAACCCGGATTGAATCGAATTAATAGTTTTCAAGATAAAAATTCCCGAATTTCACCTTTTTTTCTTGCGGTCTACTCATGTGTTTCCCCTTAATTATTATAATATTCGCGCACCACCAATCGCGCCGTGCTTTTATTTAGCCCGCTATCTATATCTGATAAATATATTAAGTATAATAAGATAACTCAATAACTTTATTAATATTTATATAATAACTTTATTGATATAACATTAATATAATTATCATATTTGTATTATCTTTACAGAAGATTATAGAAGGTGTTCAAAATAACTTCCATTTTCTTCCGCACATAACGCGATTCTTCGCATTATGCTTTCTCGCACTTTCAATAACATTACGGGTGTAATTTCTTGACAGGCTGCTTCTATTTTTTGTATAAATTCGTTTCTACAAGGTGGCAGCATCTCATAAACCTGATCTCGTATGTAACCCCATACAAAAAAATCCATAGGTGTTAAGTCAGGAGAGCGTGGGTGCCATTCATGCAGAGTGCTATGGATGCCTATCCATCTGTTAGGAAATCTTTGATGTAATATATTATGAGCAAAAGGGATGTATGAGCAGGATGGTCATCTTGTTGAAAAATAATATTTGATAATACAGCCAATGGAACATCTTCTAATAAATTAGGTAGTGTTTCCTCCAGGAAAGCGGAATAAACTTCTGCTGCTGCTCTAACATTAATATTTTCCGGAAAGAAATACGGCCCGATAACTTGATTATCTAAAATTCCCATCCAGACATTAATATGGAATTGGCCCTGGATGTGTGTTTCTTTTCGGCAATGAGGATTTTCCTCCGCATAATGATGTTCATTATGTCTGTTTATGCGCCCATTATTGCGGAAAGTGCATTCATCTGTCCAGAGAATTCTCCTCAAGAAATAATAATTAGCGATGTTGTTTATGTCATATGTTGTTATCACGCGGCTGCGGCGAGTACGCATAATTATTTTTGAAACGCAGCGGATTGCTACTCGGTCCGTTTACCTTTTCTTCTGCGCTCGCTCCGGCAATCGCTTCTTGCAAGATTGCAAAATGCTGAGCTCGGACGAGTAACTTGATCTCATCTCTCAATTCTAATTAGAAATTCTGTAATGCCTGTTGTTCAATCGTTTCTAATATAGTTCGCTTGCTTTCTATGGTGTAATTTCTTCCTTCTATCATGGAATCGTATAATTCCATAGCTAATTTATCTGCTCTTAATCCGAATGCTCTTGCGCTTTCTCCAGATTTTTGGTTGAGTGTATTAAACTCTAATTGCAAGTGTGTGGTACTTTTTCGGCTCAAATAACAAACTTCTAACTCTTTCTTTAATTGTGCGAAACATTGTATCTCGTATCTCTCGCGTTTGAAAATCTATCATTACTCTTCCTTTTAATTTTGTACATACCACTGCTTTTAATAATATTTCTTTTTCTATCGGATTTATGTTTTTTATTGCGTATGACGCGGCGCTCAAAAATTCTTGTAATTTATTCGATGTTCCGTCGAACTTGAAAATCATGTCTCGTGCCTCTTTTAAACGTAGATAGCGCGATCCGCTTAATTCCGAATATTATATGACGTTCGTCCATACGTAACTTCGAACGGGAGGTTACTTATTTGCTAGTGTCTCGCGTGAAATTCGCGGCGTTCAAGATTCGCCGTTTCTAACTGATTTACGCGATCTTGTAAGTTGCGGATTCCATGTAATATCTCGTCGAGAATGGAATCTCTATCGTCCGGCTGTAATCCGGGCATTCGGTTACGATTATTCGCCGGGGTTCTCCTTTGAGATAGCACTCTATTTAGACGGTTTATTTCTTCATCTATTTCCTCTGGGGTTACCAGCGCATTTTCATTGTTCGCGTCGCGGTTGTTAATTGCTGCTTCCGCGTTCTTGATTACGTTTACGTTTTTTGGTGCTGAGTAATATTCTTGCGGGTTGAATATGTTGCTATCATACAAAGTCAATAAGAACTCTCGTCTTTGTAATAGTCTACTGGTCGTACTGTCCGCGTCTTCAGATTGTGCGTACGCGTGTGAGGGGTAAAGTCTATTTTCCTCGGAACAGTTATTATGTCCTATTAAACTCGCGTCTAAATTGTCGAATTGAAATTCGCGTTCGACTACGATGTTAGGATGTAATTCCGGTTCTGATCCGCTTTCACTTGAGTAGTACGCGTCTAAATTTCTGCGCACGGTTTCGCGATTGTCGCTTACGACTTCTTTGGTCGTTTGAACGGGACTTAACGGGCTATTTCTACGCGCTCGTCGTGACGTCTTGCTATGGAGTTACGATTAGTTTAGTTCCGTAAGTGGATTATCGCTTTCCGACATCTACGGTAATTGCGCTTTACATAAATTGCTTAATCGACTTACATTAAGGTCGCTAGTCGCATGCTGCTGGTCGGTGCTCGTGCTGCTTTATCAGTCGGTGAGCCTCCGTTGAGGTAGGTCGGTGCCGTCTCGGGTTACGCTGAACGTTGGTCCCTCGTCGGCTGCTACCGTGTGTTCCGCTGTTGTCGAATCTGGCTGCTGTGTCTCCGTTGAGGATGTTGCACCGCCTTAACGATTCACTTTTTCTGTTTCAGTTGCCGTTTCCGTTTTCCTGCCAGTGGATCCCAGACCGCTGCCACCAGTTGTTGTACCCTTTTTTTGCGGAGGGGCACTTAGATTCTTTTTGGTCCACGGAGGATACGGAGTTGATAGAAATAAACGGCACTTTTGAATAAAGGATAACTTTTAATAATTACTCTGCGTTACAATCGTTATTCGCGTTGATGCCCGTCACTGCTCTGGTTCCCGACTCTCATTACCATCTCGTCTGCTTCTCTCGTTCCGTTTTGTTCGTTCGTTCGTCCTTCGATTTCGCTGAGTTGCCCGATCGGATGTAGGCCGATCGCGCAACTCATTATTTTGATTTCTCTTTGTCTCGTAGGCGTTTATACTAATACCATTTCTTATAATACTCTGTTTGGTACATAACTTTAAATAATAATGTTTCTGTGGTGTATGTACATGTGTGAGAGCGCGGATGGGAGAGTGCAGAGAGTGGGGAGAGCCGGAGCAACGCCGGCACTTCGATGTAACGAGCCAGTCAGTCAAATAAATACTCTAGCCCACACCCGATCTCGATCGATACCTTCCCCCGCCTGAACGAGGAAGATACAGAGCAGATGGCGACGAGGCTAAAATCATTATAATCGCAGATGCGTGTAAGGGTGAATGGCGGAATCGGACGAGACGAAAAGTGGACTGGCCTGGATACATAAGCTACGTAAGGAAGAAGTACTTACGGAGCTGCGGAGCAGAGGAATTCCGGCGAACGAAGTCAGCAAGTTGGACGAACTGCGCCGAATATTGAGAATAGCGGTACAGACCGAACAAGAGGCCAACGAGGAGGAAAAATCGAACGAAAACGAAATCGAAGACGAGCCGGTAATGGAATACTCAACGCAAATCGATTTCAAAGTTGGAGTTGACGATGGGGAACAATTCATAGAACGGGTAGAGTTCTATTTCGAAGCAAAAGGCATAACAGATGCGAATAAGCAAAGGGCGATTTTTCTGACGAAAATCGACGCAGAGGCCTACGCGGTAGTACGAAAGGTATGCGCACCAGCAAAACCGAAAGACGTGACGCTAGCGGAAATCATAAAAAAAGTAAACGAATACATAAAATCAAAAGCCAATGTGACAGTGCTTCGATCGAGGTTCCGGAAACGGATACAAGCGGAGAAGGAATCAGTGGCACAATACGTGGCCATACTACGGAACCTAGCGACCGAATGTAAATTTGCATCAAAAGATGAAGCAATAAAAAACCAACTGCTTAGTGGAATCCGGAATAAGGATATTAAAATTGCCCTATTCCGAATGACGGCGCTCACGCTTGACTCAGCGATTGGAACAGCAACAGCCATCAAAGAAGCACAAAAGGCGGCAGACAAATTCAAGGTTGAAGCCGAAGAAGAGAATAACAACTCGAACAAGGAAGAGAAAACGGAGATCGACCGTTTACAAACACACGGTAGGAACTACGGGGGACTGCGAGGAAATCTGAGGAATGCGCGTACGAAGCGTTATAGACAGCCACCCTCACCAACTCAACGCAATCAACAGTATCGTCCATCGACATCAGGGCCGTCAAGAGGGCCTATGACAAGACCGCGATGCTTCTGCTGTGGAAAACCAGGCCATGTGAGGGACGATTGTTGGTATCGAGAATGGACCTGCAACGGATGCGGAGCACGGGGACATCTACAAGCCAATTGCAAGGAGCGGACGCAACACGAGAAAAAGCCGATCAAGAAGATGCAGCAAAACAAAGAATCGAGCGAGTCCGAGCCGGAGTCGGAATGGTATGCAGATTTGTTTTCGGTTAGAAAGAAATCGAGTAAATGTAATTCAATTAGAGTAAAACCACAATTTCTATAGGTTAAAGTAAAAGAGCGAGAGTTGAACATGGAGGTCGACGGCGGCGCGGATGTCTCATTGATAAGCGAAAAGGAGTACAAGAATAATTTTGCGGGGATACCATTAGTCGCCTCGGAGACAACACTAAGTTATTACGGGGGTGAAGAAAGCGAACCGATAGGAATGTTAAGAGATGTAAGCGTGAAATACGGAAAAATTAAAACGACGGGAAAACTATACGTGATGGGGAAGACCGGAAAACCCCTACTCGGGCGCGATTGGTTACATAAATTAGGGTTGTGGCCGCTAGGGATAGAGCAGTCCGAACAAAAAATAACGGAATTAAAACAAATGAAACAACAGACGAAAGAAGAGAGGAAAATTCAAAAAACGGTAGGACAGCTCTTCACTAAGTATTCTAATTTATTCTCGCCGAGACTAGGGAACTATACGAAATCAAAATTCGTGATTAGAATGAGAGTCAGAGCGGTACCAACGTATATAAAACCGCGAACGCTACCCTTAGCGTTAAAGGACAAGGTAGGCGCGGAAATCGACAGATTAGTGGGAAAGGGAGTTCTCTCACCGGTAGAAACTAGCGAATGGGGGACGCCAATCGTACCGGTCGTAAAAAGCGATGGCAGTCTAAGAATATGCGGCGATTACAAGGTAACCGTAAATCCGAAATTGTTAATTGATAGACACCCATTACCCCGGATTGAACACCTTATTGCAAATTTACAGAGGGAAGTTTTCTTTTCGAAAATAGACCTGAAAGAGGCCTACGCGCAGGTACTGGTGAGCGAGGAATCAAAACAAATACTAACGATAAGTACACATAGAGGTTTATTCCAACCAAATAAGTTACCGTACGGCATAGCCTCGGCACCGGGATTCTTCCAAAGACAAATGGAGCAGATCTTTTCAGGAATGCCGGGCATAAATGTATTCCTCGACGACATAATTATTACCGGCAAAGCGCTGGAAGAAACCGTACAGAGAACGAGCCAAGTCCTTGATAAATTGAGCAAATGCGGGTTGAAATTAAAAAAAGAAAAATGTGAACTATTAGTCCGTAAAATTCAATATTTGGGCGTGGAAATAGACGAACACGGGGTACACGCACCGCAAGAACGAGTAGACGCAATAGATAAAGCACCGGCACCAACAACAAAAAGGGAATTGCAAGCTTTTCTGAGAATGTTAAATTACTACGCTAAATTTATCAAGGATCGGGCCACGAAACTGTATCCATTGTACGATAATTTAAAAAAGGATAAATTTCACTGGACGAACACATGTCAAAAAGCCTTTGAAACAGCTAAACAGGAACTAAAATCAACCGAGGTACTTATAAATTACGACCCAAATAAAAAAATAAGTTTAACGTACGACGCATCAGACTACGGCGTCTCGGCAATACTTGCACATGTGACTCCAGAACATGAACGGCCGATAGCATATGCATCGAAAACAGTGTCGATGAGCGAGCGCAACTACGCACCAATTGACAAGGAGGCCCGCGCGATCGTGTTCGGCGTAACAAAATTTTATGACTATTTGTACGGGCAAAAATTTGTGTTAAAAGCGGACCACCAACTGGTACGAATTTTTGACCCAAAAAAAGGCATACCGGTTATGGCAGCACGTAGACTGCAGAGATATGCAAGTTTTTTAAGCGCGTTTGATTACGACATCGTATACGTACGTTCGGAGAACAACAGCGCGGATGGGCTTTCAAGACTTCCAACTCCAACGACAAAGAAAAGATTAGATTCGAAAAAGGAATTTACGCACTTAAACCTGGTACAGCAGGGACCATCTACCTGTTTTAACGACAGGGTCGTCGCGAGACAGACGAGGAAAGACACATTATTAGCCCAAGTTACGAGGTATATACTGGAGGGGTGGCCGAAGCGAAAAACAATTCCAGAAATATTACGACCGTTTGAAACACGAAAAGATGAATTAACCATAGAACAAGATTGTATTATGTGGGGTTATCGGGTAGTCATTCTGGAAAAATTAAAAGACCGAATAATCAAATAATTGCACGCAACACATTCGGGCGTAGTAAAGATGAAAGCGGTTGCACATTTATTTTTCTGGTGGTCAAAGATTGATAACGATATTGAGAACGTGGCGCGAACATGCCACCATTGCGTAGAATTTAGAGACGATCCACCGAAAGTAGAACTAAAGCCATGGAAATGGCCGGAAAAACCGTGGCACAGAGTGCACACCGATATCATCGGACCATACAAAAATCACAATTTTTTATTGTTAATAGATGCGAAAACGAAATGGCCAGAAGTATTTTTAATGAAATCAACAACAACGGAAACCACAATAAAGGTCTTCAGGAATCTGTTTTCACGCTTCGGGCTCCTTTCCAGTTAGTTAGCGACAACGGACCTCAATATACGAGCGAGGAGTTTAGCAAGTTTCTAAAAAAATTAGGAGTAATACACACCTTCTCGTCAGTAAAACATCCGGCGACGAACGGCGCCGCCGAAAATTTTGTTAAGACATTTAAGAGAAAACTAAAAATACTTTTGAAAACGGGAGAATCAGTCCAAACGGCAATAGACAGAATCTTATTTGATTACCGGTCAATAAAACATAGCACAACGGGCGAGTCACCGGCAAAATTAATGCTAGGCCGCGAACTGAGAACCAGATTTGACCTATTACGCCCCGACATAAGAAAAAAAGTAGAACGCGAGCAGAACAATCAAACACGAAGTACAGGAGAAAAGAGAGTAGTACAATTTCAAGAAAAAGAGGTAGTATGGGCAAAAGATTTCAGTAAGAACGCACCGCGATGGGTAAAAGCCGAGGTTATTAAAAAATTAGGACCAGTGACGTACAAGATTATATTAGATTCGAGACTAATAGTAAAGCGACACGTAGATCAAATAGTGAGGGGACCTAAACAGACTGAGAGGGCCCTAGGGGACGAGCCTAAACAAGAAACAAACGACAAGGTTCCCTTGCGGTGGTCAGCGAGACTAGAACTCCGAAAGGGTACGGAACATTGTAAGCCGACAACGAAAAGATTGTAAACCGAGTTAAAATTAAGAAGGGAGGAATGTGGTGTATGTACATATGTGAGAGCGCGGATGGGAGAGTGCAGAGAGTGGGGAGAGCCGGAGCAACGCCGGCACTTCGATGTAACGAGCCAGTCAGTCAAATAAATACTCTAGCCCACACCCGATCTCGATCGATACCCCCGCCTGAACGAGGAAGATACAGAGCAGTTTCTTAATCCTATTTTGTAATATTAATTTAAGGCCGCAATACAATGAAGTCATAGGATTTTTGGATGAGATTGAAGGCCCAAAGCTGGTGGGCAAGACTCAGCATTATCGATTACTTAAGTTCATTTTAAATAATAACAGCCAACATCGTATTCAAGTGGTAGAACGATGAAATAAACAGAATACAGGTTTATGTACAATCTAATAAGGTATAATAAGTAATTTGTAATTTATTTTTCTTTTCAACTTTAATATATTATTATTTTTTATAAACAATTATTAGCTATGTTTAAACAAAACAAAGTAGTTAATCTCCTTATCAAGCGATTAAATGTAATAGATTAGATCTATTAGTAAGAATAATTTAATAACTCAGTGAACAGATTAACTACTTTATCTTACTTGAACATAACCATTATACATTTCATTCCATTATATTTATGTCACAGTTAATGTATATTAATAATTTTAATAGTACTCTAATTTATTTTTATATTATTTTTATATTTTACAGATTATACATATAGATGGTGCAAAAACAAAGAAAACAAAAATGTTAGAATTTAATCACGATACTTTACCGTATGAATTGGTTATATCTTCAAATGTTCTGATACCAATAAATTTACATATTATTAATATCTGTTAAACAGGTTTTTTTACAATACTACACTAAAGTCTATATCACTATTACACAGGCTATTATTTTAAATACACTGTCGTGATATTCAATGCATTCATGCGTCTAAATTAATATTCCAATTTTCAAAATAATAAATAATAACTTTTAAAATATTTTTTTGATAGGCCCGTTTTAAATACAATCTTATGTTGTTATAAATTACAAGAGCCTAATTTTTAAATTTTCTTACAAAAATACAAGTTTATACAAGTTAATTGACTTAAAATCATGTTACAGACAATCAACTTGCAACTTTTCTGTAAAAGTAAAATTTACACAAACGCTTCTCTTACGATAAATTTAAGAATCAAGCTCTAGAACCGTATTAGCATCTTAGGACATTACTTAGGACGATCTTAAAAACGGAACTATGGACCAAAGAGGGAAATTTTTTACCTTTCAATTTTGACCTCCTACCTTTCATTATACAAGATAAACAAAATAAAATGACTGTTTGAAACGTACAAGCTCGCGCAGGAGCCTGAGCTCAAGAATTATAGAAAAGGGAACGATACTTTTCTTGTTGTTACGTCGGTAAAGAGATTGTGTATTTCCATGGCAGTTATGTTATAATCAATGAATATATCGTAATAAATGTTATACAGAGAACACATAGCATAAATACAAAATGAGATAATGTTAAATTATCAATGCATAATCCTTTCTCATGTGTTACTACAAGAAATTAATCTCTCATCATAAATGATTGTAAGAACTCAGATTTCCGTTATTTGTATCTTGATCAGAGAAAAACAATCAAGTGATTTCATTACTTAAATCTGTTTGAAAAAAGGATTATACAAGTTAAACATATTATTCAAAACACATTACATAAATATAGCAAGAATATACAAAGCATAAATAAGTTGAAGTACTGTGTCAACTAGTAATTCGTCGAAAATAATCCTTAGATGTATATATATCTCTCACTTAACAAGTAAGCAAATAAACATATGGAAAGTAAAGCAATCGAGAGAATGTTTAGGCTTATATAAATTTTGTGCGAGATTCTACAACTACAATATAATGCACTTTCTTTCTATTAATTGACACAGTAACTTCCGCAATAAATCAAGTTATATAAGTATTTCAAGTGAGTATGGTAAACAATTCGATAAATGAAGAG